TGCCCTGCTGGGGTCCTGCCCTGCTGGGGTCCTGCCCTGCTGGGGTCTTGCCCTACTGGGGTCCTGCCCTGCAGGGGTCCTACCTTGCTGTGGTCCTGCCCTGCTTGGATCCTATCCTGCTGGGGTCCTGCCCTGCTTGGATCCTATCCTGCTGGGGTCCTGCCCTGCTGGGGTCTTGCCCTGCTGGGGTCCTGCCCTGCTGGGGTCCTACCCTGCTGGGGTCCTGCCCTGCTGGGATCCTATCCTGCTGGGGTCCTGTGCTGCTGGGGTCTTGCCCTGCTGGGGTCCTGCCCTGCTGGGGTCCTATCCTGCTGGGGTCCTGCCCTGCTGGGATCCTATCCTGCTGGGGTCCTGTCCTGCTGGGGTCTTGCCCTGCTGGGGTCCTGCCCTGCTGGGGTCCTGCCCTGCTGGGGTCCTGCCCTGCTTGGATCCTATCCTGCTGGGGTCCTGTCCTGCTGGGGTCTTGCCCTGCTGGGGTCTTGCCCTGCTGGGGTCCTACCCTGCTGGGGTCCTGCCCTGCTTGGATCCTATCCTGCTGGGGTCCTATCCTGCTGGGGTCCTGCCCTGCTGGGGTCTTGCCCTGCTGGGGTCCTATCCTGCTGGGGTCTTGCCCTGCTGGGGTCCTATCCTGCTGGGGTCTTGCCCTGCTGGGGTCCTGTCCTGCTGGGGTCCTGCCCTGCTGGGGTCCTGTCCTGCTGGGGTCTTGCCCTACTGGGGTCCTGCCCTGCTGGGGTCCTGCCCTGCAGGGGTCCTACCTTGCTGTGGTCCTGCCCTGCTTGGATCCTATCCTGCTGGGGTCCTATCCTGCTGGGGTCCTGCCCGCATACGACTGCCTGCTCAGCACACAGATTATTTTAACACAGCGCTTCTCAATTATTTTCTGCACCCCCCCCCCCCCCCCGAGATAATTAAATATTTTGCCCCTCACCCCCCCACACACACAACTATCTGCCGCTACTGTAAATACTATAATTTGTCTATAAAATTATTATAAGTACACCTCTACATAACACTGTATCCTTATAAACATTAATTAAAGAAATAAAGAAATATAGATCAACTTACAACAAAGATTATTAACATTTTTTTATAGTGTGTAATAGAAAAAACTTAAAGTGCATCAATTTGTCTGAAATTAAAAAATATATAATCTTATTTAAACTGTAAACATTTTTGACCATTTGATACTGAACAATCAAATTAAATACAATCAATAAATAATAAATTCAAATTGATCAGCAACATCGGGAGTGTTTTATACAACACTTTGACCTACAAAACAAAAAGGAATAAAACAATTTGTGCTGATTTTTTTTTCTAAATGAGGATGTCAGGATTAATGGCTGCAATGAGCACGTTTTACAGTGCACAGATTTTTAAAGTTTGAAACATGATCCTGCAGCTCTCAGCTGCTGCTCAATGTTTAGCTGGACCTGGACCTGGACCTGGACCTGGACCTGGACCTGGTCTTCAGAGCAGCAACAGCAGAGAAGCTGCAAAGAGCGCAGCGGGCTGGTGTGTGTGTGTGTGTGCGTGCGTGCGTGCGTGCGTGCGTGCGTGCGTGCGTGCGTGCGTGCGTGTGTGGTGGGCATCCAGGGGAACGCACTCACAAGAGAAGAACCTGACAAGTTGTTTAATGATGTAAAATATATTTTGTTAGCAAAGAATAGAGTCCTAACATTTATTAAACATTACTTCTGCATTAAAAAATTAAAAATAATAATTAAAGAGGAAGAGGGGCAGGTGTCGCTCTTGCTCTGTCGCATGCGTGCTGTGGGTGACGAGCGTCACCTGCTGAGTTTCTCAGCAGCAGAGGGAGCGACACGGTTCAGTCACGGCTCCTCAAACAACAAGACGGACATATTTGTTCATAACTTTATTATTAGTCAGACTGAGAGTTGCCAGATTTTAGCAAACAGTTGCCAAACGCACCTTGACTCAATGAAAATGGTGAAAAAATAAAACGACTCCCTGCCGCAACATGTTCCCCAGGATCACATGCACCCCCCGACATTGCTCGGCCCCCACCAGGGGGGCGCGCCCCCCTATTTGAGAAGGACTGCTTTAAGGGTAGACGTGGAACTGCTTCTCTTGAAGAGGCAGATGGTGGCTGTAGGGCTTAAAATCAGTGTTCATGTAATTATTGTCAGTTTACATATCCAGTATAAGTTTTATTTATTCAAGGGAGTCATATTTATCCAGAACTTTATTATTAGTGAGCCTGAGAGTTACCAGATTCTGTTCTGGCAGGACCCGGCTCCAAGGAAACCCTGGTTATAAACATTGCTCATGGACGGTGTTGTCTTCATCCCACAGGCTCTGTTCGCCTTCTGCTGCCTGGCCACAGGTTGCTACTGCTGCTGCTGTCTGTGCTGCTGCTGCAACTGTTGCTGTGGCAAATGTAAACCTCGGCCACCCATGGACCAGGAACCTGATTTTTACGTTTCCCCCGAGGATCTGGAGGCCCAGGTGACGGCTGATGAAAGAGGTGACTACAAGGACATTTTTGAAGTTATTAAAATAATAATAAATCTTGTTACGCTTCCTTTAAAAAACGAGTGAGATTTTTTGCTGTTTATCTTGTTGAAATGTTTACAAGTGTTGATCATAAAATTATATCATGAAAAAGTTGATTTATTTCAATAATTCCATTCAAAAAGTGAAACTTGTATATTACATTCATTAATTACACACAAACTGATATATTTCAAATGTTTATTTTAATGTTGATGATTATAAATGACAACTAATGAAAACCCCAAATTCATTATCAGAAAATTAGAATATTACTTAAGACCAATAAAAAAAGGATTTTTAGAAATGTTGGCCAACTGAAAAGTATAAACATGAAAAGTATAAACATGAAAAGTATGAACATGAAAAGTACGAACATGAAAAGTACGAACATGAAAAGTACAAACATGAAAAGTATGAACATGAAAAGTATAAACATGAAAAGTATAAACATGAAAAGTATAAACATGAAAAGTAT